ATTCACATATGATTGCAAAATCTGCCTTTCGTCATATGAAAATAGATGATTGCGTGCTGTGTATAAAATAATAGCAACAACAAATCATGTGACCTTCTAACCAATGCCTATAATTATGTGTTCGTATATATATATATATATATATATATGTGTGCACCACGATGAGCAATCTGCATAATTACTTATTAAAAAATATATTAATAGTAACATACATAACTGCAATTATGTAATACTGTCAGATGGTTACTGTATGACTGGTATAATAGTCATACGGTTACAGGCTGGGCCGAAGACAATGAGACGCCTAATGTTATCCTGAATGAAAGTCTTCACAATGATCATAAAAGATAGCACAGGATATACACTAGTCATCTGCTCGCGGTCATCTCATTAAAATTTAGGTTAATTCGACGTTATCACAAGTATAAGTTGATAATTTGGATCGCTAACATGAACTTGCATGTGCGCTTGATTTTTTTTTCACCAAGATGGCCGGTAAAGGAACGTAAATCGATTGAGCCTGGGTTAGTTGAGAGAGCGAGAGAGTACCCTTTAAAGGGGGTCTGGCTAGCGGCAGTTTTTCTTTTCTTAGGTGGTTGATACAATGTTGGCAGTTTTGTTGCACCGGAAAAAATATATCACTGTATCCAGTTCTGCCCGTACGGTTACGGTATTCTCCCCACGGTGGACCCTTTGGTCCTCGCACCACGTTCCGAATGGTAGATACACTTCGGTTTCGTTGACGCCGGCTTCGACAATCGGAGCAACGATCATATCGTTTCCTAGGTGATAAAAACGTGCATTTGATTAGAATAGGTGACAATTCGGTAGCGACGACAGCTTTTTGAGGCCTAAATAGTTTTGTCAATAGAAAAAAAATGCTGCGTCGAGTATTGTTCTTTATGCGCTAGTAGGAGAACTGAGTTATATGAAAGAAAAGTGGGCTTGTTTTAGCAGTTAGTTGTTCAAAAGTTACAGTTTACTATTGCTACACAAAATTCGATATACTGAAGTTGTTAGAACAAGTGTGTACGCACCGACAGCAAATTGGTTTGGGAACTTATAACAGTTGTCGTTCCTGGGATCAAGTGCCCATAAAGGTCGCACAACCGGGAAATTCGGTTCCTCTTCAAGGGAACGGCCAATTGCTTTGAGAATCTTCTTTTCTCGAAGATTGACTAATTTACGGATGATTTTGACAACTTCAAATTCGGCGATTGCTCCATTTCCACTGGGAACACGACACACCTGTAAAGCCAAATAGTGTATTGCTTACATAAGTGTGGATAGCGACGTGTCCTCGTATTCATATTTGTGCTTAAAAATAAGCCTTAAACATGAGACATAATAATCGACAACAAGCGCTCGTTGTGGCAATGCTTCTGAACATTATCGAAAACCAACCTGTAGGACGGGCATGAATACGGCAAATTGCCACCAGCGGACATACAGTTCGGTGTCCTCGTGGGTCCCTGCTTCGATGGCCAGATCTCCCCCAACACATCCTGGGTTTATCAGGTTATGTCCAAATAGTCCGATCATCATCACCTGTTATTACGAAAAAAATAATACATTATCGTTATGACGTCTCGCATCCAATATCAAAATCATGGAACCAAAACCGCTGACGGTATTCCTCATGGGAGATAAAAATAATGAAAATTTCCATGATTGTTTTCTCGACTGTAAAAGGGAAACGAGGTCGCAGTGATCAATACTAGCTTATTTGGCGATGTTAATGCAAAAACGAATATGCTCTAAGTTTTACGCAAGCAAAGGTGCGGTAAAGCACAAAGTAAATCAAAAAGCCCCGAATCAATCACTAATTTCTGCCTCACGGCGAATTGGTGGGGGGGGGGGGGGGGTAGTAGGGCGCAACACCTAAATTTCGGCTGCTGAGCCGAAAGCTGGGTTTATTCCGGCTGCTGAGTTTATTCTGCGATTAACAAGTACGTCTCTAATGGTTGACTGCAGTCGCAAGTAAGAATAAAGTACAGTGCTGTAGTACCTCCACATCAATTTTAACAACAGCTAAGGTAGAAGAGTGGAAGAATTAAGTTTGAAATATTTAGAAATAAACAATAAACTTATCGTACCTTAGCTGGCAGGCTGCGTAAAGCCTCCCAGGAAGCTTCTTGTCCGCCTAGAATTACGAAACCTCGTTCTCCTCCGGGGCTTCCTATATATTCACTAACGTCTTTTACTACATCTAAGTATTGATCGAGGTAACTTCTGCCCCTGTTGTTTACATAATAGTATGGCAAAGTTGACGATTGGCCTCCCTGAAAGCACATTAGTGACATCAAAGCGTCGGATTCGAAATCTCCATATAATTTATTCAACTGTAGTGGAAACTTCGAGGGTTTTTAAAGTTATAAGGGCAATCGGCGGTGCACATAAGGAGTAGTTCACTATGGCTAATAGGAAGTGCCCTGTTGGCTTGCAGGGTCCAAAGCTTTGACATAAGTTGAGGTATTTCAAACGCTTCCACAGCACTGTAGGACAACCTTCTTGGCCTATATCACCTTTGATGGAATGAGCTATAATGTCTGGTGGACGAAGTTTCGGTTAGATCAAGATAAGAGTATAATTGCACAGAAGTATTAACTTGCCTGAAAAACGAATCCGTCTACGCCGTAAGTTTTTTTCAAAGCGTATAGTTTATCAAGGAACCAGGCAACCGCTGTATTAGTGCTATAGAGGTCGATAGGTGAGCAGAGTTGACCCTTCCATCGAGTGAACATAGGTACGTTGTTATCATCGTGAATAAGGACCTCATTTTGTGATACGCGGTCAAAATTAGATGAGTTTAGACAGACGTACGGATCTACTTCAACCATCACCTATAAGGAATTGCGCACGTGGAGTAAGCTACCATTGAAACGACTTGAATATTTACTACAGTTTGCGCGTTACTCCTGATCAGTCGTTGTTTTTACTCTAGATAAAAAAAAGATGCGTTTCTACGCGCACGGTCCATGTATCCTGCGACTCACTTTTATGTCTCTCTTTTGTAGTTGTTTCATCATTTCGATCGGCTTCGGAAAGCGATTTGTGTCGAAGTCGAGGTCACCCGAACTGTGTTGCCACCAGTGTTGAAGGACAATAACATGCGCCTGAATGAAACCTTCGTCACTCTTGAATTTCTCTGCAAAGGCTAGCACCATCGATTGATTGAAGTCATCCACGCGCTCAACCTGTCAACGACACGTAGCACACAATTTGTAGCTGTGTCACAAGATATGGCACAATGAAATCATGTAGCAAGTATAATCGAACAATAAATTATATTGAAGTCCACACGGATTCTGCAGTAAGATACGTATCACACACACGACTGCATCATAGACGATTACAGATGTTATAACGTAAACTACGAAAATTATGGACCTGTGGAGCAAGAATGGCCTTGGCAAGAAATAACGTCGTCGTTGAGTTTCCCTCGAGCAAACGCGTTCCTGCTTTTTTGGCCTCGGCAGCTGCATCGTTTGTCGCTTGACCGAACGCGGCCTGCGTTACAGGCAGCCCAGAAGTTCCATTTGTCACTCGTTTGCCACCAGCATCCTTTGGAGTCGTAAGTGACATTAAAGAAACCTAAAATGTATAAGAAAGATTGAAACCGTGTAATCTGCATTTAAAATGAGCATTGCACTCATACTTTACAAGCAGACCCAATTTTAAGAGATAGTTATGATTGTGCGCCTCGTGCGTACATTCAATTTCAAAAAAACAATAGTGGATAACAATATTTATTACTACGTTATGTTTAGAAGTTAAGCTTTACTTTGGTTTAGCAATGAATGACGATATTAAGAGATATTAGAGTTAGCAGTTTAGCGCCATTCAATCCCGTTTCTGCTAAATTTGTCCTTTTTGGAGATCTTAAGGGATCTGCTGAGTACTAAGCGTTCAACCTAGCCATGTTCAGATGTAGATACATTGAGCGATAAGGAGAAGGTAAGGCATATATATTCGAAATAATCTATAATCAAAGTATAATTGGTCTACAGTTATACGCGTTCTGTAATTGAGTATATTGCGATTGGCACTTTTAAAATGTATTCATCGATGGTGAAGCGCTAGGTAATACAACGCATGAGTAAGTGTGTTAACCTTCAAAATGTCTGCTAATTTCTCAGAGTTCGATATAAGAAGCACGTTTTGTTATTTTATACCGGTCTGTTGTTAAACAATTTGACGACGTGCGATTAACATTCATCCATGGACATCTGTGTTTTTTGTGCTTTTTTTTTTGTCCTCTGCTATCAGCTTCAGAACGTGCTTAACAAACTTCATCACAGGCCTTCCTGCAAGGTAATCTAACTTAGAGCACGTAGAGGAATTATATTGCAGAAACGTCTACTTCGATCGAGAATGCGGTCAATACTTATGAATGAAACAGTTGCATACAAAAATCATGTAAACTGTAAACAAAATTAGGCTTCCATAACATGTTCATGGTGTAATTACGAAAAAAAATAGCTTTAAAAAACCTATTCTGTTGCTTTTCTTCTGTGTTATGGGTAGTCCTGAAAAGGCATCCGGCATAAATGTAAATACGTACTTTTGCGTGCGGTTAACTTTAGATAGGTCACAGCTAACCGGGCAAAACGAGTTTTTTACTTGTAGGAGTTGATAAAAAGAAGTATTCGGACAAAACAACTAGAGCCGGTCCTGATTTTTTTTTACTCAGTTCCGTATGCTTTCCGTGTACGGATCAGTGCAAACTTACAAACGATTTGGACTTAAGAATTGCCGTGATGCCAGTTAACGATAGACACTTTTTTTACAAAGACAAACGATACACATGTTATGCTACTGTTCTAAATTTGTCCTTTTTGGCGGTATCTCTCACACGCTTAATTGGTGTCACAAATGATGAGACAAACTATTTGCTTCAAACAAGAGCACTTACACAATCTCTTATGTATATATATATGTATATAATAGAAACATACCTGTTGCGCGCGGATATACGGATTCAGGGTTCGCCTACTATGTGCGAGCTGAGGGAAGAAAGACATATGAACATCGAAGGCAGTCTCCCCTTTGCAGATCGTATAGTTAAGAACATTGTCGGTGGTGTAAAGGAGAAGTTGATTGTCTCCCGTTGAATTAAAGCTAAAGAGAACCTCATCCTTCTCCTATGAAAATAGCAAAATACACGGAGAAGTTAGGATCCAACAAGGTAAGTTAAACTTTGCAATTTGTATATATTTCAGGCAGTAATTCTCTAAACGTGTGATTTTCAATTCCAAGCTAGCTCTTTCACAGTTTCGAACAATGTCAATGCTATGGATGTTCAATTGGAGAAATGAGAACGTACCTTTTTATGAACCATTATCCCAACGCCTTTAGAAGATAGCCAATAGGGTTTGATAATGGTTCCCAATGGTTCCTTGCCGGTGTCGAACTTGATATAGTCCACGTGAAAATCTCTTGAAGGCCAATACAGGTTAGCGACTTCGCCCATACCATACCTACAATAGATTTCAGATAAACAAGTCGTTACTGATTAAATGATGCAGAATATTGATAAGATCCCGCTTGTTCACTTAATATTGATTCTTTTAATATACATGATACTAAATACAGACATTCGTTTAAATAACAGAGAATCTAATTATGCTATGCTAAATCCTGTAGATTCTAACTAGGTGCCTGGTACAAATGTCCTGCTAACTTTTAACTTGACATTTTGAATTGTGATTGCATAGAGAATAACTTGACCATTCGGCATTTCGTAAATTGTAAGTGTCTTCCATGTCCGAATGCCCCATCTTCTTCCATTGAACATTGTAGCATGTGACGTTGTTGTCTCTATAGTCGAGATAAATTTCTAGCCTTGCACGAAATTTCCATTCTTTGCAAAAACCCGGTTTGGCCGTCTTGCACGTGTGTGCCATTAGGGCTGTACTCAGTGAATTTGCTGAAACACGAAACACAGAGTTTATTATTCGACAGTCACACACGGCCGCAACCGGCGGAACACATATGCAGTGTTCCTACTTTTTAGTGACCATTTGATATAATTTACCCAAGTGTATTATCATGCCATTGAATATAATTTATGTTTTACTGAATGAAGCTAAAAGATGTAGCGGTTCATCTACGACAAATCTTAATGATGTACCTCTTTTGAAATATGAATTATCCGTTACCTTTTCTCTCTATCAATTTTCACCAATTTGTGCTTCACCAAAGAACATGACGTTTTATTTTTCCGTTTTTCCAAATGCACTGGTATAGTGTGGCTTTCGTATGGGGTGTTTACTTTCGAAAATCGCACCCTACACTAACTGGAAGCTTCACTGCAGTTGCCATAAAGAAAGATATGAACCGTGTTTGATCAAATTAACTAACACATAAGAATTTAACCGTGTCGACAAGTCAGTCATCACGAAGAACTCTGCTACATATATGAATATTTACACATCCTGACCCTGTTGCTAAACAATAAACATATTTAAAGAGTCGTTATCTGCATATATTTTCGATCACTTTTTAGCTTACTATTTCTTCACATCTGCTCACTGCGAGTAGGCCCACTTTTGACCTTTCACCTCCTTCTACGCATACAGAATTGGTCCCCGCTGAGTCGTGATAAATCCTTTCATTGCAAGAGCACAGCTGCTTCTAGCTTTTAGCCATTAAGAGACAGAATTACGCTAGAAATTGTAAGAAATTGCCTCAATTCTTTAAGAAGACAGTTGTCTACTTCAATTCACGAAAAGCTTACCGAAGGCTATATATATATATATATATATATATATATATATAAAAAATTGTGAAAGCAGTTATTCTGTAGCTTGCTATGCTATACTATGGCTTGTTGCAAATAAGCTGACATGATGCCGTCGGTGCGATTATGCTGCACACCGCGAAAAATAGCAGATTCAAGCTCATTGTTCTGACACATAGGCTTGAAATCATCTGATTCTGATTACTGGACTTAGTAGTTACAAGGTACCGCAAAAGATTGCGACTCAACTTGCTCACATTGTGCAAATTTATAGTAAGACTAATCGACTTTATGGCGAGGTACGGGCAAGCTTACCTAATTTCCCATGAAGTAACATCCCTCTCCAGTTATGGTGTATATAAAGATCCCGTTCATCAAGTTTAATGCCCATCTTGACATGCTTCGAGTCTTCTAGTGCGCGATGTAGATGATGCGTTAAGAACACGATCGAAAGGATAGATGCCATCAGGAACGCTAGGACCACGCGAAATCGGACGTCCGGATTGCGCAAGTGGCGTGGAACAGAACGAATGAAGCCCACCTGCATTCGATGCAAACAAAAACTATTTTAGGCCTTTCTTTACTGATCTCTAATGGAATTAAGGGACTGCCATGATAGTTTCCTGAGTAGCCGACGTAACCGAAAGGCGTATGACTGATCGCGCATCATGCAATGAAACTGTGTTACGATCAAACTCACTACGCTGCCGAAACAAATCCGTCTGTATGCATTTTTGTCGGCTAAATTCTGTATCCATATATTGGCTAATTCCAATCCGGCTAAACGAAGACGGTAAAACCTTGAAATTGATAGAACTTCAAAGCTGTGTACGAATGTGCGTGTGACTTAATTTAGGCGGACGTCTAAAGCGTCACGGCTGGTTTACCTGCTCACCTGGTCCATCTAAGTTTCGAAGATTAGTTAGTTAAATTAAAAGTTTTCTCTCCTATGTACTCTTCTGTCTATTTAGAGCATGTCTTTAGTAGGAAGGCTATTGTATTCACTTGAGATATGGACATCAAATGATAGGGCGCCACTACGACTTGGGTCACGATGCCTGAGGAGCGGGCGAGATTGTTTCCTACCGCAGGTCTTTTACTATCATCATTTGCCGATGAAATCATTAAAACTACTGCGCAGCAGAAACATAATATGCGTGCCTTCAGGAGGCTAAGTCAGTCAACGATACACAGGCGTGTATACGTTCCAAGCGTATTCTATACATAAGTTTAACGAGTCGCTCGATGGGGCAGTCGTGTCGTGCTTGCTGGTAAACTTCTAGGTGTCCTACATTGGAAACTGACCGTAGATAGGCTGAGGAGCAGCCTAACGGCAATAGCGAACACAGAAACTCGAAAAATTTACAAATAAGCTGAACTTCCCGCAAACAATATTCTATTACAGATCATGTCACAGATGATATCGCTGTCTGACAGCGCCGAGTTGTGCCCCGACTGGGGCACTGATGTCTTTTTAACGACAACGTCTACTCGACAAGAGCAGATAGCTCACTTCATTATGGCGGTCCGAACTGTTCGCTCCGTTAGAGGCGATCACTGCTTCTATTTTCTTAATACTCATATAGGATTTTATTTGGCTTAGTCGATATAACCGGGTATCTCTCTGCTGTCCATGATGTGATTAAGCATTTAATTTCCACGGGTACTAAAAGTCTGCCTAGCTATTATTTGTTGTATTCAAAATGGGGCAAACAGTATTAAAAGACTAAGTAAGTGAAAAAAATATCTCATTTACAAAGGACTTACAATATGAGCCTTGATTGGCGTTTGTACTTTTGGTTCAAAGCGGTTGCCGCGCCTCGCGATTTGCTCCATTCGTATCATTTCGATTGACTTATACTGTGTACGCAAATTGCTAAACTCCTCGTGATAAAATGGTTTACATCGACGTTTTGGCTCTAGCCAATTTGTACGCTTTCAATTGCGAAGACATTTCTATATCGCTTCCGTCTTGTTATCGGTGTCGACGTTCGTTGCTGAAAGCCATACGCGTCAACCAGGTTCATGTCCTTGGTACTCGAACTATTTGTAACTTCACTGCAACTTTCGTTGGTACTCGTATTCCACTAGTCTGTACCCACCTCACAACCGAGATTTGGAGTTAGATATCTATCTATCTATATGCACCTTTGGCTATTTTAGCAAACGGGCCAAAGCTGAATCGGGCCAGCGTATCGGCATCACCATTAGTTACTTTAGAACACTATATTCAATTTCAGTATTCTGGTAATTTATTGCTGCGTCATTATGGGACTATGCGATGGCACGATTTGGATATGTAGGTCCTTGGCATTGAGAAACACTTATCTATCGTTGAACACTATAACGGAGTCGAAATAATGAAGCTAAGATCAGACGCGCAGCGTCCCATGATCTACATTTGCATCCCATGATCACGCGGAACATGATATCTATGCGAAAGTATGTACACGTTTGTTTTGCTTTCTCTCCCATTTTGCATCAATCGGTCGGAACAAACGAACCAATTAGAAAGCTAACAAATCCACAGACGGCTACAATCATCCGTAATCATGACGATGCTACGTTCAGTCATTCACGTCTTCCGGTTTTCGTCAAACTTCACCAGGGTCTGGTCTGGTCTGGTCTGCTTAATGCAAATTCGCCCGTCCGAGATAGGAGCTGCTACGTCCGTTAGCGCTGGAGAATCCAAGACCGAGTCCTAGCTACTAATGAAAATGCCGATGGCCAGTGCTATGTGTCAAGGGTGGTAAACTACGATCGCTATTAATTCCATTGCACAGATTACGATAACTTGCTGAATCATCTAACTGCTTAAAAATAGTGCCAACTACAGATCGTTATCGCGGGCTTTCCGTGATTCAGACCCTTTTTCCTAAGCTACTTGTGCGAGAGAGGGACGCGCTAAAACGAGCCAAGACAAAGCACGAATATATTCAGAAAAATTGGACGCACACTCGGCTATTTCGCCAATATGTGTTTATACAAATGACGCTTAAAAGCCTCATGTTGCCGGCCGCAACAGTATCGATGACATTTGCCCGATCGTTGTCGTCCGATTAGAGGCCGGAGTAGCCTTTTGTACACTGTAGTATATAGATATGTAGAAACAGCGGTATCCGACAGCGCGTTTCAAAAATACAGCAGCCATTTATGAGCTTCTCCAGACTCACGATCACTCGACCAGCGGCAGGCGTCGAGAGCACGCCCTGATATATCGTGCCAAGTGAGCTTTGAGCTACACTGGATTGCGTTTTGTCAGATCCTATTCGTTTCAATCCGTTATGTTCGCCTTCTACCGGAGACTGCGTCCAATAGCGCAAGCTGCGCTCGACGGCGGTGTGTAGAAATGCCGCCGCCACCAACGACGGCGAACGCCAGGAGGACGGCTACGTCGGACTGGCGCCATTGTAGATTGCCACGACGAGTTGTTAATAGTAGCATCGACAATAGCGACAGAAACTGGGAGTCGCTGCGGAGCTTGTCGCGCACTAACTAATTAGAGATACGCACTACTAAACTGCACGGTTTGTTGTGTTAGAGGACTTCTGTAGGGACAGGATGTGCGGGTGTGCATTCGGCTGTGCCTCTGGATTACTTTCGCTGCTGTTTCATGGCTGTATGGTCTACGAGACATAGCACAGCAAAACACTGACAACATATGTATATCTTCCGAGAGTTCGAACAGCTGCATATGCGAACGTGGTAGCGGGGCTGGAACGTCCCACAGGTGTCAGTTTTTGGCGGTGCACGTTCGTAGTCGATGAGCAGACTGAGTAATCCCAGACTTGGGTTTACCGATACCAGCGTATCATGTGTTGCTGCTACCAACAACTGCCCTTTCATCGTCAGTAAGCATCTCGTCCGCTTAAGCCACACTGCGTCCGTATCACATTGTTCAGTGGAGAGGGCAGGCCGGGATAACTTTTTAGCTCCGATAACTGACGCGTTCTGCGGAGCTCCAGTCAGAACGTCTCATGATATCCAGCTGTTTCAGTTCGACTACAAAAATTACTCGAGCGATTGCAACGCAGTGTTTTTTGCCTCCTTGAAATCAACCAAACGAAAACGTTCTGTGCTGACGTAAATCGGGCTTTTCTCCTTTCGTTGCGATGAAATTTGTAGCGATTCCGATGGGAACCGAAACAAGAAGCCGACCAATCCTCCTTCACCCTTGTCGCCCAGCTGCGGTCGCTGTCACGCTCTACTCCACCGAATAGTTTGGGTACGTGCTGCACCCGCTTTAAATAGAAATAGTGAGAGCCGGCTGATCTGCGTCGTCGGTTTTGGCTGTACAGAGCGTCTAAGTGAACTCGATAAGTTCAAGTCGTTGCGACATCAGTTATTTATTAATGGTGCATTTCAATGTTAACATTGAAGATAGCGCCCTCTCTTCTCGCCGTACGAAAGATAAAGCAAGAAAGTGCTTGATAGGGACATTCTAGAATCAATCTGGCTCCATTAGGAGTGCAACGAGCAAGCTTCGTGGTGGTACAAGACAGTCACGATTACGTTAAGGCTGTTTTGTCTGTGTCGGAACAAGACAAAGGTGCAGCAGCACGCTTTTCGCTTCCTTTCGCCCCGTTTCGAGCACCGCACGGACGATGACGGTGTGCTCAGGCCGTAGCGACCCTGGCCTGATGCTGCTTGCTGCGAGTGCCTCAGCAGCTACCGTTCGAAATCAGCCAGCTTAGGCTACCATGTCATTTTGTCGGACTGATCGCCTAGCAGCGTTTTGGGCTGCAAACTATCGCGCGTCGTCGATTCTTTACCTAAGGTCAGTCAGACTGTTGCTAGCGTCACCGTTGCCATTACCAGAGTGTAAGTCTTCCTTGCTGCCGTTGACAGTGGCGGCCAGTGAGGAATAAGAGGAAAGAAAGGGCCATTGACCATCGCGACCTTGTAGAGAAGGACAACAACGATACTGATACCCATGGCCCAGATGACAAAACAACTATTAGGCCAACCCGATGGGCTCGTACGGGCAAATTAGTCGCTAAGCTTGTACATGTAGTTTGCACCGATTTAAGCAATAGCAGCTATAAGAACTTCACCGTCGACAAAAGCTCTTCCATACTATGCTTTCCCATGTACGTGCACACACATACATTCATGCATACGCAGACAGACGCGCATCGCCGCCAAACATACACACCCGTTTTTGCTGCTGCTGCTGCTGCTGCTGCTATTGAGTTAGAATGTTGCTAATAAAAAAGCAGCCTCCTTCATAGGGAGCTATTAGTATAGTATCGCTTGATTTTGCCTGGATTTTTCGGTAGCAAACAATGAGCCGAGCAGGGCGGTGGCATCGATTACCATTACAATGAACACCAATTTTTCAGCGAACCTTTCCCCGAGAATAGCGTTTTTTGGTTTAGGTTTTTGGCACCTGCTATAGTTTATTTGCGCACGCACATAGTTCGCCTGCGTTTTTACGACGTACTGTAACAAGCACGGAACCTGTCCATATGTAGGAATGTATTAAAGGGGTCAAAATAATATGAACACGTACGTTTTTTTTCGTGGGGGCATGGTTTGAACGGGTCCGAGCGCTCACAGAACGTATAGTGCAATACACTCACCCTATCTCATACTGAATTTGTTAATTTATTCCGCGCTTCTTCGCAGCGCTGAGACGACAAATTCAAAGTTTCCTTTTGCTAGAGTAACGTCTCTTGGCCGATCGCTTGTTTCCAACATGCCAAAATAAACGTAGATGACTGCAACACCCATTGCCGCTTATACTCATATTGTAAAACGGCCGATGTGCTGTGCGACGTCCCTTCGGCCTAACCAGGGAATACACATGATTAGCTGTTGTCTGATTATTTCGATAAGACGACCAACGTTCTAAGACATAGAATATTGTCGCAACACAATGCAGATGTAGAATTTTTCAATTAACGAGGAAACATCACGAAAGCATCCTTTACCAACGGGCGTCCTTTGAAATCTGATGTGGTCTAATCGAACTTCTTTCCAATAATCTCAACATTTTTCTCAAGAAGCTTCTTTTGGCAAAAAGAACGCCATTGACAAAGGTAGTAGTAAGCTTCAACACACATCAATACAGCACGTAGAAAGTTGGAATTTACCTCAAGAAGAAGAAGCCAATCGTTTTCTCCACGATCTCCAAGCCTCCTCAATTGACATTCGTCTCAGGTTGACACATCTTGGAAGTAGACTTTGCAGCAGGATCGGAGAAAGGGAACACTTTATAATTTTCAATGTTATTTCGACATTACCCTTGGCAAATTTAGGCAGTTGACGAAACTGATTACAGATTTAGATTCATGTTATTAGTAATATGGTAGATGAGTAGAAGCTTTGATATTTGCGTTCTAACGGTCGAGTCGAGTCTACCCAGTGCGGGATCTATGCGCATCATATGAAATGCCCAACTGGATAATCTGAAGCAATCGTTGTACACTTGAAGGAAAGAAGCGATTCCGGTACGAGGTAGGCTCATTTTTAGAACGATGTAAAGACGTTTTTCGCGTGATGTGACCGAGCTTGAGTTCATGTCCAGCTACAGAGGCGACTATTCACCGACTCTGCTGATGTATCCCCAGTACGAAGGCGGTGGCTACGCAAGGCACTAGAGACAGCCCTGCAGCTGTCTGTCTGTTTCTTTCACCTACTTATACTCATGCCATATTATTAGATCTGGTAAAACGTTGCGGTTACGCGAACAACGGACTCCCGACAATTTGAATGATTTAAAAATGGCGCGAAATCCGTAACGAATCGTCGATCTTGAGTCAACAAATCAAACAAAAACATCGTCAAAACGATCTTGAATTGTCTACATATCCAATGTCTAGCTTGAGTTTGCGTTGCCGTAATGGCACTTGTGACCAGCTGTGTTGCGCTGAACACAATTACTGATTACTAACAACTACTGATTCTTTTTGTTGTTAGAAAAACTCGTTGATCGTCGTATGGTTTAATGTCCTTGTTCTCGAAATTATTCCTGGAAGTTCTATCTGTTGTCGTATGACGAGCTGATGAGGTAAGTTACGTTTGGCAGCCAATTAACACAAACGGACTCTTGATGGAAAATGCGATCTATCACGGCTTCAATTTTCTCTCTTGTTCTTTTAATCTAATTTGTTTTTTTTTCTACCAAAAATATCCAATCGAACAAGGCCCACTCACACACATTGCATACTTCGATGGCTGAGTCAACGGTTCGTTGACCCCTACGCATAAATCGGTGGCCTGTAGTTGACAATTGGGCTATAGAACGCCACCACTGAACTCAGCCACTTGAAATTCCCGCCGTTCTAATCGCCTGTGCAAAGACTTACCTGTTTGGACGATTTTGTACTGCCTTGTTCAAGTATGCCATCGCTGATATTGTCCCGATGCCTACTGCCATTGCTGTTGCGGCTGTTGGCGCGTTTAGCCTGACTCTTCCGTTTACGCAATTTTTTGTCGATCTGCCAAGTGCTATCCTGAATATTCAGCTTCATTACTGTGCCTCCTGCGCCAAGAAAGTGAAAAGAAGTCATACTGTGGGCCTGCTGAACTTTTATGCAAGTGCTTGTCACATAATTGGGTTTTGAGGGGGGGGGGGGTAATAATTGGGGGTTTTGTCACATAACAGGGACCAAGCACAAAAACTGTATCTAAAATGAATTTAACAGAAGATGAACAATTTTTAGCTTGAATTTAATATAAATATTCGATTGTGTTTTTATTTGGATAGAACAGAAGGGAAACCCAACCAGGGGCCTCGGTACAGGACATTAAGGCCGGTAAACAAGTGGGCCAATTTCAACAAAAACTGTTTGATAAATCGTTCCACTTATACCATATGAAAAAACATTTGTGTTTTATTGAAACATAATGACAGGCCAGGCCATGCTGAAATCAATATTAGTTTTTAATTAAGACTTTAATTTAGTAGTTGGACTAATGAATAATTAATATTAGTTGAAAAATTTACCTGGGGAATGAGACATACATGACAAAGATTGAATATGGCATGGAAGTCGTTGAAATGTGTCTACAGCATCAAATCATATATATATATATATATATATATATATATATCTATCATCATGATATAATGAAGATAAAGCTGCTCTCGATATAACCAAAGCTCAAAATAAGATACCTCGAAGATCTATTCGTCAATATATAAAATATGAATCAAAATGCTTAGTAATATTTTTTAACTATTCTATTCAAAATGACTGCATCGAGTACACGTGAAACCTAATGTAAAGGATGTCCATCTGGTTGCCTAGAAATTTTTTACCCGTTCATGTTCCAAATGTAAAGCGATTGTAAGGATGCACTACAATTGATCTCAGGGTTACTCTGGAAAAGAAGGCTTAACTCGAATCAGAGAGATCATTACAGATAGCTGGGCGCTAAACGCGCTTTAAACCGCGTATCACCAAGAACTAAATAATTAAAATATTCTGCTCAGGGCCAGCGAACTTGAAAATTGCTTCAGACAAGTTTGACCAATGCCAAAGAACTTTGCGCTTGTACAGCTCAAGCTAGTTAAATTGAGCAAGTGACCCAGCTTGATAAAAGCGTTAGTTCGGCCATTGTTATATAAACCTTTTCTTTGTTGTGTTGGAGTTCCTATGGGGGTGGCGGCGCCTGGCGTCGTATTTTGTGACGTGGTCGCTGTGTTTGGCTGAGAGTTGTTTTCGTCGTCGGACTGCGCGGAGGCAGTCGACTTAAGGGTCAAATGCTTGAAGCTGATTAGCTCATCCATGCTGATACCCCCAGATCGAGACATCTGCAGTAATAAGTACAGACAAACAATTGATGAACTTAAAATATTGAAAATTCTGAAAATAATGTTTCTATAATAATTTTTACATATTTATAGATCTGCTCTATATATACATTAGTGGTTCGTCGTCAAAAATGTTACAGCAGAGGATATACGAAATCTTTTAAAGATCTCCATTTGCTACATCGGTGAAAAAAACTATTTTAAAGCCTGGACCAACGCATTTTCGATCGATGGGATACATCCAGGGTTCGAAATATAGAAGCACACAAGTGCATCCAGCAGTCCTTCCATACGACCGCCTTATTTTGAAAGAGCCTATGACTACCCGAATTCCCGCAGACTGTTCGTCGTCGTTCCGTCATATCGTTAGCAAGCTGTCCATAGATATTTAGTCTGGCGTGGAACGTATATACCGAAAACGCGTAAATACGTATTGAGATCTTCGCTAGTATAATACGAAGCTAATTCGGAAGTTTAGCTGACGTGCTCCTACTACTGATAAGCTATGAATAGACTAATTTGGCCGCATCTTGTATGCATACTCAGACACACCCCTTATTATAGATACAGTAAAACTTAATAAAGTTGTAGTCCTCAAAGCTCCGGACTATACTATCCGTTGTGTGTTCAGTTGGCTTCTAATTATACCCGCTGCAATGATAATTATCTATCTAATTACACAGTTTGTTCAATTACCTTCAGGTATTGGTCAATATGACTGAGAAAAATATATATTATAATTTTCAAAATTTTGGCGAGCGTTTCGCAAATGAATTACACCTGGCTAATCGCTCAAAGCTCGGAAACGTATACGTCCGGCCTTAAAGTAGCTATACAATGAACAGGAGCAACGTATGTATGTGACGTGTAATAATCAACCCATACCCTTTATAAATCAGTTTTGGCGATTGAGTCATCCTGTAGAACTCGAGATGATCTGTTATTAGCGAATTCGTTTGGTGGTAACTACGCGTGTCGGGGAGGCAAATGGTGTCTTCGCGAAGCGAAGACATTCTTTAACCTGCTTTGGTGGGGGCTACTGCCAACAGAGGACTCTATCGACGAATTGCGTATGTGCCATACACAACATCCTACAGAAGTTGGGCTGAGATTGGATTCTGTCGTGCTGATTGTTTGACCGACTGATTGATTGAGACCATTTTATAGAAATAGAACAGAGGAAAACTTCTGCTTGAGCAGCAAAATAGCCGTCATCGCAATAGAGCGAAAGATCAATTTTGTACTCAGTAGATTAAGAAACTCAACGAGGTTCCCAACCTCGAAAAAGTAACCAGGTACCTAGTTTTTTCCGACTTGTAGTCTAAAAATTTTTACGCAGACAAAACTATATACGTTCTTATGACGAAGCTAAATAAAACATTTGAAGCTCTAACATAAACGTGCAATAAAAGATACGCGGAAAATCCACGGTTGCAAGGACAGATAGTTCGGTTTTTGGTACTGGATTAATGTTATATGGGAATGTTATATATCACCACAATTATATAAGAAGCGAACTTCCATATGTACACGCTACATATTTTCAAAGCATACCGGATGTGAATTGCTTCTAAGAAAATAAATAGTAAATGTCCTTACATTGAGTCAGAATAGATGTATTGCCAGCTAGCCATGTGGGGGATTTAGGATTTTAGCGGATTTAGGGTTATACATGATAAAACAATGTGTTTTGAGTTTGTGTGTACAATGTGACATATTTCACTTACTGTTCAGATAAGTTGTAGGTTTTGAATATGCCGCCATTTGGACCACCGCTGGATTAAATGGCCATAAAGCATCTTCTTGAACTACAGATATACAACAGTTTGTTTTTGCAAGGTAGGATTGTTTCCTTAGTTTTTTTGTTGGCTCGTTAACCCATATTGATTGGGTTAGTGGAGCATAAAAGTTCGGTTCCGTGAAACCGACTCAACGGCATCGGTATCTTTAATGAAAATTATCTTGAAGGTTAATAAATCATGTTAACACACAGCGTGGGAATCTTTTGAGGAGGTGCGGGTTTAATTTTTTTTTTGCTGGTGGTAACAGATGCTCTCAATGGCCGGGTTAAGTGAATTCCATTCTACATAATCCCATTCTCCCCTTTATCGCCGTCGCATCGTCGTGCTTCAACATAGAGGAGGTATGTTTAGGAACTTCATGGGGCTATATGAAACAGAGCCGCGTCTACACGTGCACGTACATCTCTCGTAATGGAAACTGATTGCCCAGTCTCAACGGGGAGTTGTCGGGACGACGCCGCCATAGCAAAAAAAAAGTCTTAATAATAAACTATTTTTTTTTTGACAACTGACTGACATGTAAGTCTGCTTCGGGGCAAACACTGAAAACATTTATCAGCTTTGCCATTACTAGTGCTAAACGCCACACACCACAAGTTTAACCAAGTAGAATATTCAAAGTTCGAGGTATAACGCCGTCGACAATTTTGTGAAACTAATAGGCAAATACAGTATAAACACTTATGCGGCTTGAGTCGTGATCTGTTGGCGCTTTGAGCATAAACTTATAAAATTTGTTTTCCCCTATATATTTCTCTCTGTCATGTCGCCAAACGTAGATCTATATCAAAGCAGTCGGTAGTATTTCCTATACGGACGCCACCGACGATTTAATTTAGGTCGTAAACCAAAGTGCCGATTGAAACTGTGGCGGAAAATGACAAATAGATTCCAAAGGCAGTAGAATGTGTTGGTAGGGGAAACGGTAACCCAGATTAGGCACATAGGGACTACAAAAGTTAGGAAACAACTATGTTGGGAAGATCCTGTAAACGGTACAAGGAGCTAGTTTATAGGTGTTGTAATGAGAAGCTTAAATAAATAAATAAATTCAACTGCAATTTTAAAGTTCTGACGCGTTCATAACCGACGAAAGCCTCCACACTTCAGGCCAATTTGTTTCAGAGTGTCTCCAATTGTGACATCGGACAGGCACAGGCAACTGTATGGGTATTGTTTAATTGAATTTGGCTAGTTGGTTTACTTCATTGTTCTCGAATTCGACTTTGGAACCCGACCAAGTAAAACGTGACAGTCATTCAAATTCGCCTTTTATTTAACTAAAGTGTTTAACAAAGGCACACGTATTTCGTTCTCTTGGACCATCTAGGTCCATGATATAATACGACCTTTAGCAAATAATATAGACGAGAAATCACCTGACGCCGCGCGAGAAAACGCTCCTTAATAACGCTATATCAAACCAAGTGCGGTCGGTAACGTATTTGCGTGCTGAAGCTCAAGACATGTAAGATGGTCTACGCTCAAAACCTAGCGCAAACATACCTCGTTTCACTCCGCGAGCCAGCTATTTGTGATAACAACTAACACCGCTAGCAAATGTAAAATTTGACACATTTATTTATTTCCTATGAAGCTATGCAGGGTAGTAAATTGTGCTTAGGATTATCGAGTACCATAAACCTGTGTGATTCTCCTCAGTGTACCATGCAGTATTCAGTTTATC